CTATTCTGACTTTCTGGAGACTTTATTGTCAAGCCATCGTAAAGTTACAGACAATACTAATAATGTAACACTTAGAAGTATTTTCAGGAAGCTTTCTGCAGTGGTTCAATCGCCATTACGGAACCAGATGGCGACACCAACTGAGCCGCGACATTTCAGCACTTAGCACGCTCGAACTCCGAAATTTTCATTCCGCCTCCTTCTAATATCTATGACCCTACAAGTGGATAAGATACCACAGTCATTAGGACATTTCACCGACATCGGTCACCATACTTTTTTTGGGCAAAACGACGCGCAGCCAAACGAATGCGGTTAAGCGGTTTCTCCCAAATACGAGTACACCTCTGAAACGACCACACATTCGTCTCTTTCCAACGCTGCCAGCTCCATTTCCCAGCCCCCTCGCAGCCCCCGCGCAACGGATTCTCGCCATGAGAATCGCCAATTACCGCCGCACTCGGTCATGAATCATAAACTGCTGCGGGAAATGGAGAACGTCCATAAAAAATGGCAAGCACTTCTCTAGCCGATTTTTCGTACCGTCATTCACGGTTACACTGCAACACAGAACCAGAGTCGAAACGAGCAGAGATATAACCGTATACAGCAGAATACATTAGTTCACAGAGTGCAAAATAGGAGAGGGAGAAGTTGTAGGTACACATTTAGAAACTTTTAACACGTCGCATATTTATAGTAACAACATGTTAACCAGTTTACCTTGTCTGTAAACTCGGATATCCAGGTAGAGGGGGCAGGGGAAGGGGTAAAAGTACATTCACACACAAATATATACGTTATAATTTTGATCGCTGACTGTATATCAACGAAGCTATAGCAGTGCCAGCGAATGGTGATTGGACGAAAGCTTGGCGAAAAGAAAGGAACTCTGGTAACGACGAAGAAAAGTAACTACGAGAATTTTGGTGATTTTCTTCTTCCTTTCTCCAATTTCACGTTTTCATCGAGTCGGAAAAAAACCGCGAACACCGATGGAGTGCAACTCTGGACTGAAAATTTTTCTGTCCAGTTTTGTTTAATTCTGTCCAACTTTGACTGGTTTTGTCCAACTTTGTATGTTTAACCCTGCCAAAGCATTAGATCAAAACCTCAAAATGGATAATTTCTGACTTCTTCTGTAACTCCATGGCATTCTAGATCTACTTAATATCAGACAAATTCTGACAAAACTGGACAAAGTTTGACATAATTAGACAAAATCAAACAGAATTGAACCGAACATGATCATGTCAAGCTACGTACAGACGAGCGAACCGAACGGTTCGCGAACCGTCTGCGAACGGTTCGGTTCGATAGTGTGGACGACGCTCCGAACCGTCTGCAGACGGTTCGCGAACCGCTCGATCCGAGCCGATCGAAGTCGGTAAAAGAGCGAACCATCAAAGGATTCGTATTCTGGCTCGTATAAATTCGACGTTGGGTTCGGGGCAAAATTAATTTGCTCCGAGCATTTTGCGAACCGTCTGCGGACGGTTCGCGACCAAATGGTTCGCTCGTCTGTACCCAGCTTCAGACAAAATTGGAGAAGGTGTCAGATTTTGCACAACTTTGTCCAGTTATTTTTGGAGCTTCTTCAGAGCCTTCAACATTAGAAACTAATTAATACGTACGACACTAATTAATTATGTCAATAACCTCTTAGGCATGGCGTCATGAACCCTCGCATTAGAGGTTGGTGATGTCACCAGAGCGTGCACTTGGATGGGCAGCTCCATTCGAGGGGCAAGAGGAATTTGCTACCTCTTATGCACTTCCACCCACACCGCTGCACCCTAGCTGGTATCCCCACTTTTGCCACTGTACGTACTTGTATGTAGCACCTGCGCTGTCAGTTCTGTAAATTGTAGAGTGATATACGTTTTCCTCATCAGTAAATATTACTCGTATTTTATATGTTATGTTCATAATTTTCTTTGTAAGCCTTTTTTAGGGTGGTCCTTATTTGATGAAGTTTTTTGTATCGAGTGAGG